GGGGGGGGGGGAAGGGGGGAGGTTCAGCAATTGGCAAGTGCGTGCTCATGACGCACAACAGGTCCAGTATATAAGACAAGGGTAAGACGACTCAGAGACATGGCAAGACCCTCAGAATTGAGAGGGAAGAATGCTCAGAAAGGTGGCAGAACAATTAAGGAGGGGCCGCAGCGGCAGCGCCGGCGGCGCACAGGGGGGGGGGGCGGGCAGGAGGGGCGCCCAGTGCAAGCGGCAGGCTTGGCTACCGCTCCTGACGAGGCGCACCACGCCATGTACGCCCTGCGCGCAGTGGCGGCGGCAAACACCCCGAGCTGCCTGTTGCAGACATCTCCCACCTGCTGTGATCCGTCCACGCTGGGGGCTTGGCAGGCGTGGGGGTTTGCAGGTGTGAGGGACTGAAGCATCATTGTAGCCCTGTATCATACCAATTGTTGCTATTGGGGTGACAATTAATATGATATAGGGCTACAGTAATTGGGGATTGACTGGGACATTCCTTGGTGGGGGGGTGGCGGCTCCCCCTGCAGGAGCGGCAGAGCGCCGCGAAAGAGCGCAGGATGCAGCCGCAACAGCAACGGCATGCGTACATAGAGGTGGGTACGTCGCGTAGCAGGCTGCCCCTCGTGACCTTGGCAGCGATCAAACCGGCAGCGACCCTTGCCTGCAACGAGTGAAGCGCCGCAACAGCAACTACCCGCAAGGATGCGTACATGCGCACGGCCCTGTCGAAACGTTTCATGGGCCGCACATAGCTTGTATTTGTGTGCAGCCAGTTGCTGAGCAACTGGCAGGCCCCGGGATGACAACAGCCCACACATACAGTGATTCAGGGTCGCTCGATTGCTGATATATCTGGCATCAGCCCCGCATTGCTCTGGACCACTGCAGCGGCGCATGCCAGTAGTGGCTCTAGCTGGGCAGATAGAGGCCAGGGCCCGCCAGGAATGGCGCGTGGCAGACTGGGAAAATAGTCCACCCCACCCCTCCCTCTGCAACAACATCCAGTTCAACAACATCCACTTTGAATACATTGATCTGATTTGGCTGTTCCAGGGTCGCGACACTCGGGGGCTTGGCATACTCAGAAAGGAGGCAGGCTGGACAACCCACCAACAAACACCTGACAAACGCCCGCTGGCAAGGTTACTTACAGGCAATATTGATGGGCTTGCCAATCACACTGTGCAACCCAAACCTAAAGTTTACTGAGGCAACTGCAAGAAACACATCCGCAGCGAGCGCCAGTGCCTGCGAACGCACGGCCGGCCGTTTACATACGGTAGTCAAAGCGCCGCCCCATGCATGCACGCTGACATCAGCCGGCTCTGATGACGTCATCAGTAACCGCCGCCCTCCCTGCCGTACGGCGCACCCCCCTGCTGGTAGTCATCCTGCTGGCCCTGGAAGCCGCCCTGCAGCTGCCCCGCATCGTACCCGCCGCGGCCGTACTGCCCCGCGTCGTCGCCGCCCAACTGGCCGCCGCCGCCGCCCGCGTAGCCCTGCGAGTCGAGGCCCCCTTGGCCGGCGCCGTACCCGGCCCCACCCATGCCACCCACATCCCCGCGGTCAAAGCCGGCAGCCTGCTGGCCGGCGCCGTAGCCGGCGGAGGCGTCGTACCCGCCGCCGCCCCCCATCTGCTGGCCGCCCCCGTAGTGCTGTTCGTACATGGAAGTGGCCTTTTGCTGGGCGGTCGCCACGGTGCGGTCTGCGCAAGGTTGGAGTGGGGCATGGTGCAGGCAAGCATTGTTGTGTGTTGTTGTGGCTCGGAAACCGTGGTGGAGTGTGCCGGGCTGCCAGGCCAGGATTGATGGACGTCCCTGGCTGAATTTGTGTGCCGGCTTGTGCGCAGCACCGGGGCAATGGGGTGGTTCCCCAGTGGGGGGGTTATCAGGGGTGTGGCACAGCATGGCAGCCGGATGATGAGGCGGGCTGCGTGCAGGATGGCAGATGAGCCGCCCGTGCCGCGCGGGCGCGGCGATGGGGAGCGGAGGACTCCGGGGAGCCCGTGCTGGTAGCAGCGACCACGGCCCCCCTCGGGCCATCCACCGTGCGCGCCAAACAGCCGCGCATGCAGCGCCCACTCACCGCGCTCCTCTCGGCCCATGCCACAGCTTCTGGGCAAAATTCTGCTCCCATCACCTAATCCCACACCCCCCCCCACCCCACAGCTCACCGCGCTCCTCACGGCCCATGCCGCGGCTCTCGGCCAGGCGGTCGGCCTCGACCCCGGCTATGGTAGCAAGGAGCTCCCTGGGGACAGCAGCGTTTGGCGGGCGGGCGTGCGGAGGACAGACGGGTGTACAGCATCTGTTGCGACAGGGCGCGGCGCTTTGGAGAGCTCCAGGGTCTTCTGAAGCGAACACGAGGCCAGAAACCGAAGAACAGCAGGGAGCGCTGAGGTTTGAAATCGAGCCGCGAGGAGCAATGCCAGCTGGCGCGGCGTCTTGGGGCAAGAACGCAACCCCGCCCCCCGCAGACGGCGCTGGCTACCACCCCAGCCCCGCCCCACCTGGCCTTGGTGTGGTCGCTGAAGCCCTCGCGCTCGCGGCGCTTCTCAAACTCGTGCATCGCGTAGAAGCTGACGGCGCCTGCAAAACAGACATACAGGTGCATGGTGTTGGGTGGGGGTCGGGGCGGTGCGGCGGGGCTGCTGCGCATGCAGGGCAAAAAAGGGGCTGGGCTGGCCGTGCTGAGGTGGTGACGGGGCGGTTGCAAAACATATGCATTGGGTCGCATTGAGTGGCGTTCAATGATATCTTTGCTTGCACCATGCACCAGACAAAGTTGTCGGTAGTTGTGGCTCACTAGGTCTGAAAAGATTGACGTTTGTTACGGCTGGCAGGAGCGCACTGCCCCACACCTGGCAGCCACCTGCGCGCCATCTCAGCAGGGCGCTGCGAGGTGGGCACCCACGCACCCACCTGCGAGCGCCTCATGGCCAAGGGAGGGGCCGCCGTCGCCTCCCTGATACACAGCATTGTAGGCTTCCTCTGCGGCTTATCAATGAGGGCAAGGGCGGCGCTGCTGCTAATGTGCGCGCAAGGTGGGGGCTGGGTGCTGATGCGTGCTCAAGGCAAGTGGGAGCTGAGGCATGCATGGATGAAGGTTTGGGTGGGTGGTTTGGGCAATGGCATGCGCATCATTCAGAGTGCGTATGTGTGAATTGTGTCTGTGATCACATGATCAGACTCCTGCTGTGAGGTGCATACCCGGCTCCGCAGACTCTGTAAGCCCAGCGCCAGAACTTGATCCCCCAAAGCCCAATGCGGAATCGCCCGCCGTTTGATCCTCATCAATGCCCAGCCCTGCTGCCACTCACCCTCGTTGCGGTGGTGACCACTCCAGGGAATCATGTTGGACCTTGTGTAAGAACTGTGTGTCGAGGGTTTACAAACTTTGAGAGGCTCGCCTCGTGATGATTTGTCAGCGATCTGGCCGTGTGCAAAATGTCTGTAGGATGAGAAATTGTTTTGCACAAATGATTTTGCAGCATATGATGCTGAATCGGCGGTATGCCTCGGCATCATCACGACGTGGCTTCTGACATCGTTACACTTTTCGAGCTGCCCAAGCCCAAAGAAGGCCGGCTGCCCCAGAGGCCTCCGGAAACCAAGCAAAATTTGCGTCACAAGCTCTCGAGATCTGCCAGAGACCGTGCCTTTCCACTGCAGGCAGCACAGTGCAGGCGGTTGGGAGCGGTTGGCACCATAACTGTACTCCGTGTGCACAGCCGACCGCCCGCCATGGCCCAGCGCCGCATGATAGAGGCCATATGTCTCAAGGATTGTCATATAACTCGTGATGCTGGACCCAAGTTGAGCAGTGCCATGCGCGGGGCCACTATACTGTACCACATTTGGGGGGG